CACACCCCCCACCCCCCCCGGCACGGATTTTTACATCATTACTTATTATTTAGCCATCAGAGTCATTATTAGCTATCATTTTATGATAAGAATTGCTAATTGTTTCTTTATGGCGAATTACAGGCAGGGGGGCCCTTCAATGGGGGGTTTTAAGGTGGGTTTTACCTCACTGCTAATTATTTTAGCAGTGATAGTCATTATTAGCAATCATGTTTTATTATAGGGATTGATAAGAGTTTCTTTATGGTGAATTACGGGCAGGGGGGGCCCATCACTGAGGGTTTTTAAGGTGAATTTTAGCTCATTGCTAATTATTTAGCAGTGATAGTCATTATTAGCAATCATATTTTGTGATAAGGATTGATACTGATTTCTTTATGGTGAATTACAGGTGGGGGGGTGTCCCATCAATGGGGGTTTTTGGGGTGAAGGTGTCGCGGTGGCTCAGCAGACGGCGGATGGGGTGAGCCCCCGCAGCCCTGCCGGGGGTCGGGGATCGGCGGGGATGGAGCTGACTTCTTACCGGCAGCTGGTGTAGTGCTGTGGTTGGGGTCGGGGATGGGAATAGCGTGATAGCGTTGTCCCGAAATGAGGGTTGTTCTTCACCCGCTGTGCGAGGGCCGATCGACCTCCTGAGCCCAGAGTTCGGCTTTTATTTCAGTTCTGCAGAATCAGCTGCAGGGCATTTTAACAACAGCCAGCACACCGCACCTTTCAAACCGGCCAAAATACAACTGATTGGTTAATAATAATTTATTCATCGCTTCTAACCATACATATGCATCTAAGCTGGTGGTTAAAGCATTTAGGGGGGTTACCTGATTAGCACGCTCGTTATTCACAGAGGGGTGTGTGTTTTAGCATTATAATTACCCACGGTTAGGGTGGGATACACTCTTAGCCTGACTTTGGTCCAGAAGTTACATTTTTTGCTATCTTATGACGAAGTCGGCAACTGCAAAAGAACACCCGAGACCCTATTCAAGGTCAGGAGCCTCCTGTGGTGTCTCAGCCATGTCCCAACTGAAACTTCTTGCTAAACTTTTAACTTGGTTCTTTAGATATCAAATGCGCACCGGTGTTTTTGGTTGTTTCTAAGCAGCCAAGGCCTTTTCTGCTCCTCACACCGCCCCACCACTGGTGGGCTGGGGGTGCACGAGGAGTTGGGAGGAGACACAGCCGGGACAGCTCACCCCAACCGACCAAAGGGATATTCCACGCCGTGTGATGTCATGCTCAGCAGATGAAGCTGGGGGAGAAGAAGGGAAGCGGAGATGTTTGGAGTGATGGTGTTTGTCTTCCCAACTCCCCGTTACGAGCGATGGAGCTCTCCTGGGGACGGCTGAACACCCGCCTGCCCGTGGGAAGCGGTGAATGAATTCCTTGGTCTGCTTTGCTTGCGTGCGCGGTTTTTGCTCTACCTGTTGAAATGTCTTTATCTCTACCAACGAGCTTTTCCTCACTTTGACTCTTCTGATTCTCTCCCCCATCCAAACTGCGGGGCCTGAGCGAGCGGCGGCGTGGTTCTGGCTGATGGCTGGAGCCAAACCACGACACCTCTGCTCTCCCTCATACTCGGGCTGTTGAGTCTTGGGGATGGGGAGGTGGAGGTGTCTGATCCCCGAGGCTTGTGCTCTGATGGAGGAAGTAGAAAAGCAGCAGGTTTTGTTGACTGGCCTTGGCAGGAGTCAAGGCTGTTGGTGGCATTTGCTCTGCCCTGAATTTTCCTGCTGGAATACTCCATGGAGGTCTCAAAAGCACTGCCCTCCATTTTATGGACCGCCTTTGGAGAACTGGCTTCTCTGGGTGTCTTTAGCTGGGCGCTGGAGGACTCTGTAAGGATATCTACAACTCAAAAGTGTAAAGCAGTTCGTTATTGGCTAACGCGTGTGAAAGCTAGCTGTGATTTAACGAGCTGTCGGGCCATGCGGGTGTGCTCAGCGCCCCTGAGCCGTCACCCAGAGAGTCTGTGGTGTGCAGGCAGCGTCAGTGAGGAGGGGAGGGGAAGGATCAGTGTCTGCAGCTCCCCGGAACAGACCCGCAGTGTCGCTGAGCTGCCCCCAGCTCTGTCAGCAGCGCTGGTGCGTCTTGACCCAAGGATTCCTTACCTGAACGACCAACTTCGTAAGCTGATTGGTTTTCTGCAGGATTTTATCTCTCCCCATGATGCCACTTTCCTTCTCAAGTCCTTGATTTACCGAAGATCCTGTCTCAACAGCGCTGCCTCGACGTCTAATTTTTACCTTCCTTGTCTCTCTGCAGCTGAGAGCTCTTTCACAGCAGCCTGAGGCAAAGCCGCACAGCAGGGCTGTATCGTGGCTGGGCATCGGATCCGCATACTCTGGCAAATAAACCCTGCAGAATGAGGGGACCCTTGCAGCAGGGCTCACACAGAGAGGGAATTACACCCCCTGGTTCCTGTCGTCGTGAGTGCTTCGGTTGTGCTCTTGGCTGGCGGTGCAGGAGAGTTCTGCCCACCCGAATAGAGCCTGGGAATGTTTGGATCACTCTTGCGGGACCACCGTGGAGGCTTGGAAGGAATATGTGGGCAGGAGGGTTGTGCTGCCAGACACGGTTGGTGTATCCTCACCTTTGGGCACCGATGCTCTGTTTTGAATCAGGATCTTGGTATATATATAGGATCACGGAGTGACAGAATTGTTTAGGTTGGAAAGGACCCTTGAGATCATGGAGTCCCCCCGTTCCCCCAGCCCTGCCCAGCCCACCACTAACCCACGTCCCTCAGCACCGCGGCTACGCGGCTTTTAAATCCCCCCAGGGCCGGCGACTCCACCACTGCCCTGGGCAGCCTGTGCCACTGCTTCACCACCCTTTTGGGGACGATTTTACTCCACATCTCCATCCTAAACCTCCCCTGGGGCAACCTGAGGCCGTTCCCTCTTGTCCCATCGCCTGTTCCTTGGGAGCAGAGACCAACCCCCCCTTGTTCCCCCCTCCTTTCGGGGAGCTGTCGAGAGCGAGAAGGTCTCCCCTCAGCCTCCTCTTCTTCAGGCTGAACACTCCCAGGCCCTCCTCCTCCTCTTCCACCAGGTTTTCCGGTTATTTTTCAGGTGGAGTTTACGTGGGTTGCGTCGATCTCTTGTGCGTGGATAGTTTTGCAGCTTCCCCTGGTTACGACAGAGGCGGTGGAAAGGACCCAGTCACCCTCCCATTCCCTCTGCTCTGGGAATTGGGCCACATTCTCCGCTTATGCCTTATCGACACCTCTGTCTGCGCCGTAGCCCCCTCTACACGGCTCCTCCTTATCCCTGTGGCAGCAGGACCGCGACTGGGCGCCGGCGGCAGTGGGAACACTGTGGAGAGTTCCCACGGTGCCGATCTCCATCCCTGGTTCCACGGGGGGATGGTGTTTAACGGCTGCGCCCTCTTCTTCCCATCTGTGCCCCACTCGGCTCCTTCCGTGGGCTCCCTAATCGCAGGATCGCCCCCAGCTCTGCCTTCAGGGAGCAGCCACTAGATGGACCTCAGGATTCAGAGCGTTCACATGGGAAATGAGAGGGTTTTCCAGTGCCCAGCCTTACCGGAAGTGCGGCTACTTCATGAATAGCCTTTCCATTTTGGTACCCGGACACCCAACTTGGCAACTTTGAAGCCAAAACTTGTTCTAGTAAAAGCCTCTCCAGTCCGATGAGCGGGGAAAAATTGTCAGCCCTGCTCGCGCGTGGAGGAGGAAGGCAGAGCTGATGCGTGGGCTGCGGGCACGGAGCAGCGGGGAGAAGAAGTACCCAAGTAAAGCGCATCCCATCGGGAGGAGGGGATATTTTCCGTACTTCTGCGATGATAGTGCAGTCTCTGCTGTAGGAGAGCAGCGAGAGCCGATACGAGGCTGTTTGCTCAGCACGGCTGATCTGTAATTCAGAGAAACCTCCTCCCACACACGTTCTCTCTAACATGCCCTGCCGCACTTCGCGGGTGGCGGTTGAACTCCAGCCGTCGTATCTGGAGAAGAACATCCATAACCATCAGAAGCTGCAAAAATTCAAACTCTGGGACAAAGCACAAGGGTGCCTTCGGTGAATTGTTTTAAATTTGGCTGCTGTTATGCCAGGGTTAAAAAAAGAAAGAAAGAAAGAAAAAAAAAAAAAAAAGTTGTAATACCTGCTTTTAGGGTGTGGGTTCTGATTTCCCTGAATAAGGCTTGGCCAATATTTCTTTCTAAATGAGAACTGAAAGTCAGCAGAGGTGGAAATTTTGATTGCGTTTCCATAATGGTAGTTTAATAAGCTCCTTGTTTTTAGGGGTAGAACACAGCGGGGTCGTTTCAGGAGCATTAACTTCTCGTGGTTATCTGTACCCTACAAATATCCTGGTCAAAAGAATGAAAAGGCATGTCCTGCCGGAATGTTTTCAGAAGGAAATTCCTTTATTTTAACTCCAGTGAAGTTTTAAAATCTATTTCCCTCTAAACTCGTCACATGAGTCTTTCATGTATTTTCTGATTATTTAAGCTGTTTTTAATTCTTTGCTTATTTTGCAGAAAGTAAATTAGAATAGATTAGAATAGAACTAGAAGAACTAGAACTAGAACTAGAACTAGAACTAGAACAGAATAGAATAATATAGAATAGAATAATACAGAATAGAATAGAATAGAATAGAATAGAATAGAATAGAATAGAATAGAATAGAATAGTTCCGTTGGAAGGGACCTACACTGACCATCTAGTCCAACTGCCTGACCGCTTCAGGGCTGACCTTATCCTGCAGGATTTAGAAATGCAATACTTGCCCCGGTTTTTTGTTTGTTTGTTTTAATTATGGTTTGTTCCGTCCGTTGGTTTTACGATGGCCTTTCCCAGCTGTGACGAGGGCTGTGGCTGGTTCCCCATCCAGCTGTTTTTCACTCTGGTGCTGAGCCCCGGAGGAGCTCAGGCGGAGGACGATGGGTCCCCGCTCCCCAGGGAGCGGAGGAGTTTCGGCCCCGCGGACTCAGCAGGCGCCGCACTGCGAGGGGGTGTCCTGGGAAGGGCGTCCTCCCTCCCTCCGGGAGAACCTGGGCTGCGTGGGATGTTTAGGGAGGATGGGACGGGGATGAGGAAAGGGAGCTGCCCTTCGTGGCAAAGCCGACGCTATCTTCGCTTCCCTTCGCTCCCCTGAGCTTTGTTATCTGCAGTTATCTTCGTTATTGCTGCGTCCACGGGAAAAGCCTTTTCACGGGACCTTTGGTGGAGGGCTGACACCCTGGGCTGGTTTCCTGCTGGACTTTCCCGGTCTCGGGAGCAGCGAACACCCCCAGTGCTGTTCCTGGAGCCGGCCACGGCCCCGCACAGACCCATCGCTCGCCCACCCAGCAGTGAGACCCTTCGGAGGGACCCCCCTCGTTTACCCCGCTGCTTTGCTGATGCTCTCGACTCCGCGGAGCCTTTTTGCTGCCCCTGGAGCCATCTGTGGCTCTGGCGAAGCTGCTGTAATGAAAATGCATTGCAGAGGAGACCTGGATGAGCTGGCCCAAAGCTGGGAGGAGTTCGCTGTCTTCTCCCATGCCCGTACCCCTGGGACCAGCACTGCAGGACAGCGCTGAAAGCTCCGAGACAGCGGGGAGAGACTTCAGTGCCGCAGGCGTTGATGGAAAAGCCCTGCCAGAGCGTCCAGGTTGTCTGCATGCCTCTTCCCTCATCTTACTGACCTGGCGAGGAAAACAAAACGTCCCCTGTCCGGCTGACCCCTGCTGCGGCTCCCCGATGGACACCGGTGGCAGGGGAAGGGTGACAGGTCCCAACACCGTGCCCTGGGGCAGGCACCGCTACGGCCTGAGGAACAGGTCCACAACCAGCAGGTTCCACGGCCGCCCTCGCATCTCGCATGCCCGGCCCGGCGGCGAAGGGCTTTCGTTATCCCTCCTCTTCCTCCCCATCACACACGATGAGCAGATGTTCGGTGGCTTCTCCAAGAGCGGTGGCAGCAGCGGCTGCATGCACAGCAGTAAATTGGGATGCCCGGGGCCACATGCGGCACCACGGTGGGATGGTGCCAGGCCGGGCATGGCGGGTTTGAAGTATTTTAGTTTATAATCTCCCTCAGAAATATGTGGTAATTACATGTGGACTCCCTGGGCTGGAGACTGGGACAAGAGGGAACGGGCCCAAACTTGAGCATGGGGAGTTCCATCTCCACCTGAAGAGGGACTTCTCTGCCGTGAGGGTGGCAGAGCAGTGGCACAGGCTGCCCAGAGAGGGGGGGGGGG